ATGGAAGGATATAAACGCCAATTTAATTTTGAATTTACTCGAACCATTCTCTACTTTATTATTTCGCGTTTCGTTCATACCCAAAAATGAGTTTGAATGTGCCAAAGGTGTTTCGTCTTTCTCTATTACTCGCTTCAAACGACTGAATTATTTAAAAAACGATTAAGGTGATCAAAAGATTTACGAAGTGTTTTCTGTTTAGCAGAAAGATTGTACTTTATTATTTCGCGTTTCGTTCATACCCAAAAATGAGTTTGAATGTGCCAAAGGTGTTTCGTTTCGTCTTTCTCTATTACTCGCTTCAAACGACTGAATTATTTAAAAAACGGTTAAGGTGATCAAAAGATTTACGAAGTGCTTTCTGTTTAGCAGAAAGATTAAACTCCTTACATATCAAAATTCTGAATTCAAATTTGGCGAACTATTCGATAATCCATGTGTAACTTATCCTTTTTTTTTACCATTAATCCTCGATAAGGCCATTTTGGAAACTATTTTACAGGCTATGCTTCGCCATGAACGATTGTTCAAAAACATTTGATGCTATAAAAAAAAATCATGTAAAACAATATTCGTATAAATTTCGAACACACTTTCATCAAATTTAATACAAACTTCCGTAACACACCGTTAACCAATATTTTTCAATTTCGTTTCTATAACACGCTTACCAGACACACCATTCATTCTCTGACAATTATTCTCCAGCAATTAATATAAACGCTTTAACCCAATTTATAGACTCTATTCGTTCTTCACCGCATTCCCAAACCAATTATAAATTACAAATGAATAAAAGATCTCGTATTCTCGCAGCAGACCTCGTACAATAAGAAAATGGCAGGAATAGGAACACATCCGTTCAGTCTCGTCATTCGTTCCTGAATCTTCGACGGAAGCACGGAACACGAAAGGCGAAAAGCGATCCTGGAATCGTAAGAAAATTAGGAAGAGCATAAAAGAAAAGAGTGGCGGTATCGAAGGTGTAAGAAGAGCAGCACGGATGGCAGGACGGGGACAGGAGGACGGATAGCAGGACGGATAGCAGGACGGATAGCAGGACGGATAGCAGGATGGGTAGCAGGATGGATAGCAGGATGGATATTCGGAATGGAAGCAAAGGCTGTGGCTGGAAGCCGAGAGCAGAGCTTGAAAGAGGAAGCGGAGAGAGGAGGAGGAGGAAAAGTACGCAGCTCGAGCGAGGTCCCGCAGCGCGACATAAGGCCACGCACTCGCAGGCGTAAATAGGTGGGTGGTTGGGTAGGCAGGAAGAATAGCCGTAAGGAGGCGAGTAGCGCGCGTACGCGCACACCATAGCCCGCTTGGCTGTGTGAGTGCACACGCAGAGACCGAGAGTAAGAAAGAGTGAGGGTACCGAGAGAGGAACCGCTCGAACTGGCTGTGTTAAGAGGTCTCCCCTGTCGCAGGTAAAACGCCGCCTCTGGAAAGTGAGTTCAGTCGCGGCCGCGCGATCGCGTTGAACGATATTTACCTGCGCGTGCAAACTCCTCGGATTCAGGAGCGTACCGTCCGCTCCCGGAGCCTCGCGAGTGCCACAGAACCGCATCCTCGCACGTTGCCAGCGACCAGCTAGACAAGGTACGAGAAACTACCTGTTACGCTTCCTATATACGACCGACAGTTTCGCCGCTCTATCGTAACTTGGCTGTTTTCAGTCGCGGTAGCACTACCTCCGTTCATCGTGTACGCAGTTTCTCCGTGTATTTATTTTCGTTCGATCTCGCATACGCGACGGTGACGAATGGATAGATCGTCGTGACGAATCGTAGAGGATAGACGGTTAGCGAAAGACACGTACAAATCGAGCAAGTGGTATAGGAGTATGGCGAGTATAATAGGTACGGCAATTCGGCCTCGACACGGCTGCGTGCACACGTTGATTCGATTTGTCGCGGCAGGAAAAAAGCAGGTTCGTCCTCGCGGATGACGGCATCGCGACACCTACGTATATCGAAAATTCAAAGTTCCCGTATACCTCGTCGAAAGTTTTGCCATTGAATTCCCTGTCACACTCAACACGCCTCCGCGTGATCGTCGGACGTCACTCCTCCCCCTCCTGACGCCCCGTCTCTTTCTCCGTAATTCCTCGCTGCCAATCATTCGTGCATTTTCCACGCCGCTTGCACCTTCGGTTTTCACTTTCTCGAAAAAACGTTGCTCCCTTCGCATACGTAGTGCCGCTTCTATCGAGCGTGTGTGCCGTGTATCTACCGTCGATAACTATCCTGCAACGTTATCCGTGCCTGTTCCGATTCCACGCGATATTCTCGGTATATTCTCGCGACGAAAATGCGCGTGAGGAAAGTTGTCGGTGCGTAAGGATTAATTACTTTCACTGACTGAGAGTCGACCGGGTGATTCGTGTCGAGGAGTCCGATCTGGAAAAACGATCCGGTTGCTCCGGCACTGGTTGCCTCGCAATCCAGTCGTCGAATAATCCGTGTGCGTGTCTCGCTATTATACAGAACACGGCGCGCCGGGGAGGTCCGCGGAGGTTTCGCAGCTTCTACATTTCGGCCGCAAAACGACGAAACCGCGCGGATAAACGAGCCGACCGAGTTCGGGTCCCGCCCCCCGTCGAAAACCGGTCCTGCTCGCGGCCGCTAGCCGATTTTGCCTGGCGAACACACGCGATCGCCATCTTGGATCCGCCGGGGATGACGTCATTGGTACAAGGCACGGCCGCTTGCTCAATTCTAGCTGCAGCTAGAGATGGAAACAGAGGCCGCGGCCAATAGCGACGCTTCGTCGAACGGGCCTTGATATTTCGCCTTTCGATTTTATTCGGTTTTTCGCTCGTTAATTTATGTACCATACCGATATTCCGTCCAGACGACCATCGCATTTTCAGCTTCGCTTTCTTTTTCTGGCTAGCTCGCCACGGTTCGTTTCGGTAGATTTACGGTCACGTATGCGATTGGAGGATGGGTAAACAATGGGATCGATGGTGCAGCTACTACGCCTATGCGTTTTCCGCGATCTCCGAGCAGATTGTATGGTGCAGATGTTTCTTCTTCTGTTTCTTCTATTTTTTTTCTTCTTCTTTTTATTATGCTTGCTGCTTTTGTTGACTTTTCGAGCAAAGTATTGATTTGTGAAATTAATCGCCGGTTCCATTCTACGACTCAATCTCGATGTGATGGATTTTACCGTTACTGGTAGAAAAGCGCGCAAGGAATTAAATAATCGTAAATTGGAATGTAAAATTTATCGAAGCACGTATGCGTGTGTTACAGGCAACGATCAGTCGAGGAAGATAAAATTAAATATTATCGTTTGTGCTATTTCATGGCATATATTATGACTGTATCGATTAAAGAGCATTTGGTTTAGAAGTCGTTTGGAGGATGTACCAGTCGAGCATTTGTAAAGGGAAATCCAATCGTACAAAATCTTTTTAAAGTTTATAAATTACGTAAATTGCTGTATATTTAAAAAATGAAATTTCAAACATAAATTTGTTCCGGAAAGCGTACTATTTACGGGTGATAGGTATCGTGAATGAGAGCAAGAAAAATGTCGAAGATTTATTAATGATTATTATCGATGATAGCCCTGTTTGCTTTACAGGCGTTGAATTAGTTAGCATCGAATCATAGATGATGATAAATCGTGATTATGTGCAATACCAAGTAACGATCGAACAATGGAGTATTGCTTAAGATCCTACGCCTATGCATTTTCTGCAATTTCAGACGGTATCGCATAGCAAGAATTCCTTGCTTCTTATTGGGATGGGATTAATAATTCATTATATTTTTGAAGCTTCTTAAATCTTTGGAAGAGAGAAGGATCGAATGTGATTTTATGCTACATATACATATAAAAATTGCAACGATGAAAAATTATACCATAAACAATTATCATTTATAACTGTTATAAATTAAATTGATCGAAATAAATTATCGAATTACGAATTCTAATTAACAATAAAGTATCGAATCATTAAAATTATTAACAACGACATTATTATTCGATTTTTCAACGAATTCGGATATAATATTGAAGAAAAAATACTCAAACAATGTGATTTATTTATTATTTACTATTTTTTAGATATTTAATATTTTACCATTGGTTTTGTGCACCGATATCGCTTTAAATGGTCATTGTAGTTTAGCTTTCGCCATACTTTTTGTCTTACGTCACATATGACGAAGATAACGAATTCTATTTTCATCGAATAGCCATTTCTGTTGTCCTTATTTGCAGAAAGTATTTTTGTCTTTGTTCTCCATCTGTATTTCGATTATTTTCAACAAGTGAACTAACGATAATTTTGTTAACCTTTTTAAACAATTACCATTTCAAATGCTTACTTTATTTTAATAATAATCTGACAAATAAAATATGCGTCGAAGCATTAAATATAATAGAAAAGAAGTAGATATTTCCAAATATTTCTTGCAATAAATAAAATTAATAGAAATTTCAATTTCGTTGCCACTATATTAATTCCTGAATTTTTTCTTTAAATTTTTTGTATTTATATTACATTTGTGTTATTTACAGTCTTATCTCTATTATTCCAATGTATAAAATTTCTCGTTGTAAATTTGGTACACAATGAGAAAGAAACTAAAGTGCATAAAATATAAAATTTGAGCAAACGCGTTTATTTATGTAGTTGTTCACGTAACCGCAGAAAATACATTTATCGAAATTTTGTAGAAAGGAAATGTCATCGAAATTCACTACATGTACGTGTACCTTGACAATGAGTAATTGTCAAAAGTTACAACTATAGCACACGGCGGATTGTCTCACGTTCATACCGTGACAGTGATCTTAAACGATCTTCTTAGAATCAGAATCATGCAATTTCCTGTTTTAATAGAGCGAAACGTAAATGAAAGTACTATACTGGCTGCTTTAAACATCTTCCACGCATTTTAAACAATATCAGAAACTTAACATTACACTCGTATTATGTAGACAAGTAAAGTGATATGAATTTCGTTATCTCTTGGTGAAAGTTTAGTAGCATGTTTAATCCAAGAAATAAGTTAATTACTAAAATAAATCTAAAAAGTATTTAATCAATACGGAATAATGTACAATATCTACATTATATAGTTGATTATTTTTTTTTCTTATATTAAATATGCTATAAAATTTGCATTCAGAGATAAAGAAGTATACTCTTACAATTAGTCACGTTTTGTATAATTTAACGAAAGTAGGCATTATGTGTATATTAAATTTCTTAAAAATATTTTATAATATAATTTTTTCAATTATATCATGTACGTTATAATATTATCCTACATCGATTAAATATTTGTTTTAATAATATTTGTTGATCGTTTTAAAAAATATTTAGTATACATACAACAGCTATTTTGAGTAGTTTGTATAAAAAGCAACTAAGGGCACACTATAATATAACAAAACATAATGTATTATTTGAACACTGTATTATTACCAATTATTGTGCCATATACTTATATATAATACATTTTGTACTTCAATGCACTTAGTACATCCAATGTAAACACAAATTACATTCATTTAACTCGTATGATCATTTGTACAACAAGCAATATGGTAAATTCCACCGCTGCAGGGATACAAAAGTATGTAAATTATGTAAATTATATATATTAAATATGTTGCATGTTATATGCAGCGCACAGAAAAATAGTTAAATATAATGTTGGAATTTCTTTGGAAAAATGTTTTATGGAATCGAAATTCAACGGTACGAAAATTCGAGCTCTGTATGCAAATACTGGGCTCTGCAGTCAGTAAAACTTTCACTGCAAGAACCTTCGGTTTTAATCGCCATCCAGTTTGGTATTTTTAACGTGGTAAAAGTTCGTGTATTTACCGCCCATTGCGAATACCACGGAGACAGGCGAAATAAAATCGAAATCGATAAATATTTATAAAAGAATAATTAAATTCATTTTCAATACACGGAATATTCTTTTTCACGGAGAAGATATTTTTATGCAAGAATAGAAACAAAAATTTTACACCTCTGTTTACCCATGTCAATGAAATTTTCAATTAGCATATGTACCGTGACATTGTCAATACTTATCAAGGAAAGTTGACGAATAATAAGCTTTTAAGGTCAATATTTTCGAAAATCAAAACTTCAAACCTAGAAATTTAATTTACATTTCTAATACTTTCCTTTCTTTCATACAAGTAGTTATTGCATGTTTTTATCCTTTTTCATTTTATTCAAATAAATTGGAGAAATTAAATGAATATTTAACGAAAATTAATATTTAAAATATTCAATAAACGTTTATAATTACGAAGTTCATTCTAATCGTATATTTATTTCACTATGTTTAATGGACAGTAAATTCCATTTTATAAAATTTATATCAACTTTCTATTTCCTTTTAAAAAATTGATATTTTTGTACGGTATTTATTTATTTTTTATTTTTATCAAATTGTTTGTGGTGAAAATTTAATTCGTTTTTTGTTGAATATGTTTTAAAATCGTAATATTAAAAATAACAAGAATACCAGCTGATTGGTATGATATTCAATATCATGAATGTTTTGCGTGCAACATGTGCTAAACGTTCAATAAAATTGTAACTAGTTGATCTTGAA